AGTCCCTATCAAATGCATACCTCCCCGATCGGGATTCCCTCTAGGATCTAGATTCGGAGATGTCTCGTTGTATACCTAAATTTTGCCCACTCCCCGAGTTTTGTGATGTCACCGAATTTTGAGACGCCCCTAAATGTGAAGCAACTCCAAAGTTTTGCGGCATGCCTAGGGTTTGAAATGTACCTACGTTTGGAGGCATTCCTAAGCTATATCGTGAATTTCTATGTATCGACGAAGTGCCGGCTCCGTTCATGTTATTGGGTGAAAAACCGGGTGGTCTTACACTCGTATATGGCCCTGCATATGTGGTTATGGGGTTTCCCATAGTTTGCATATTGTTTGATATCGTCATACTAGATCCTATATGGGTGTTTGCCAATGTTCCTGGATTTTGTTCATTACTTGTTGGTATCGACGTACTTACAGGTTGTCGATACTACGAGCATACTCCCATTGTGCCCTTGTCCCCCGGTATTTGGTGAGAGCACACCACTTAGACCCTCATTGTTATTCTGACTACTTGATGAATTTTGACTCATTATAACTCTCCCACTTCTTAATCTCATACACTCACGAACTAACCTCTTTTGTGTTTTTTCAACACAAGACTAGTCCCCTACCTGGCGCGCCAATTTGTTTCTGGTGGAATTTCGATCGATTTCGATTCTAAGGGTGTTTTGGTCCTAATCAAAATCCTACCACGTAAGCTCTTTTTACTTAGGCTAGCAATTTGGTTTTCAATCGAAAACGTGTATGAAAATCGAAAACTCCAGGATATCGAAAATACTGTTTTTGGTATTTTGTATTTAAAGTATCGAAAAAATTTAGACTATCGAATAGAAAAGCAGAATATTAAATTGCGAGGAAATGTAAAATGCGAGAACCCCAAACTTGCATTAATTGTAAATAGCGAGGAATCGAAAACAACACAAATATAACTGACCAGAAATCGAGATTGCAAGAAAAGTAAATGACAGGAAATTGAGATTTGCAGAATGTTAAATAACAGGAAATCTAAATGCAGAAACTCAAATTTTCATTGAATTGAAATGGACAAGGAATCGAAATACAGAAACATAAAACTGCTGAATTTAAGTTGCATCAAAGTAAATTACCAAGGAAAATACAGAAAGCGATAAATGTACTCCGTGAGCAGGGAAATCCAGACCGCCAGAAGCTTCATGGTGTTCGTCGTTTCTCCGGTAGACTTTTCACTACTGGTTCTGTGCTCTGCCAATTTTTGCTCCCCTTGTTCCTTCCTTCTTTTGCTCTATTTATAGGGCATCCTTCAAGCCTTCTAAGAGCAGTTAATACGACTGCTACCACGTTCTACGTGCGTATGACAGTTTATCTTCTAGTTTCCCACGTTCTCACGATCTCCGACTTTTACCCATGATTTCAAAACTGCTCTCTATACATGCATTCAACTTACTTCCCTTCACGATTTGGCCAAAATCTCGATGTCCCCATTGGCTTTCTTTATTCTCGATTCTATATTTTTCGAGAACTTCGAATTGCTCACGATTCCTTTTTAATCCTGATCTTATATGACTTAGTTTTTATTCGACAACAGTCATTTGATTACAATTCATTCGATTCTCGATTGTGTTTCTCGATGCTATATGCTACGTATTTCTAATTAGACATCGAATGAACTTTTGTTTATCTTATCGAGTCATATTTCTTCCCTTCGATTTCGATCGCTTTTCTCGATTTGCCACTAACACTAACTAAGGAAAGCAGTTGAGATGGGAGCTGGGGCGAGGGAGGCTCGATGGAGGGCCGCTGGGCTTCGATGGTGGCCGACACCTGGAACGGAGGACGAAGCGGAGCCCTATAGAGAGTGACGGAGACGGGGATGGGTCTCGGTGGAGGTGAAAGGCCATCGACTTTCTCTTTTCTCTAAAAGCATTTCTGTTATTCCAGTTCTGGTAGGGAATCACATGCAAAAAAATATTTGTAAATTTATGGCGCAATTTTATTTGTATTATCTTTTAATATTTTTTTTTAAGTTTATATTTTAAATAATACAAATAATACTCTACAAAATATAAGTTAAAATAAAATTATTTTTTAAACAATTTTAATTTCATACTTCTACATAAAAAATAAATTTATAAAAATCAAATTAGAACTAATTGTTTAATTATTGATCTTTTTTTCTCGTCAATAAATTTTTATAACTTCATTCTAAAAAAAGTCTAAATATATGCGCACCCAAATTTTTTTCTTTCAATCCTTATTTACCTTTCTCCCTTTTCCACTCTTTCCTCCGCTAGTTCTCAACTTTTCCAATTGTTGGGTGGTTCGTGAATTTTTTTTGGAAATTTTCAGTTCTTTTAAAGAAAATATACGGTCGATAAATAAAGGAAGGAAAACATTTTTTTTTCTGAAGGAAACATTAAATATGATGATATATTTATATTTATAAATAATTTAAATATATTTTTCTAAAGGAAACATTAATTAGCTTCTTTTTTATATTAATTTGAAGCTATCTTTTCTAATTTTTAATTTTATCTGTTTCTTTAGAGAAGAGGTGCGTTGTCATAACATGTTTCTGTTAAACTCATTTGTCTGCATTCAAACTAGAGTTTATGTAGATGGGTTAAAAGTTGTTTCTTTATTCCTCTGTAATGATTAATCATGTACCGGCATTTTTTCTTGTTTCCTATATTTTTTTAATTGTTTTTCGACAACTCACCAGGTAGATTGTTAGATAAAGTAATTTTAATATACATACTCGTTTAACACGTATTTTTATACACTCACTTAATCTGGATAACTAATTAAATTTATTATATTTTTCTTAATATTTTTTTTTGTTTTATTAATATTGTTTATTTTAATCTATATATTTTCCTTTTTTTCTCTTTTTTAATAATTTTCTAAAAATAAAAAACTAATTAAAATTTAAAAACAAATTATTCCTCAAAATATTTTAAAATATATTGAAAAAATATAAATGAAATATATATTTTGAATAAATAAATCCTTAAACATATTCTAAACTGATATAAATATTTTATTTGTGTATTTTATTTAATCAGAGAATTTTTTTACGATAAATGTGGGAGATTTAATAATTAAATATTTTAATATATTTTTAATTATATTAATGATGAATATTCATTTTTCTAATAATTTTATTTATTTTCTAAAAATATGATAATTTTATAATTTATTTGATGGTACATTAAGTTATTAGTTATTTTCAAGTTTTGAAATTTTAATTTTGATTAATATAAAAAAAGAGTTAATCATTTAAACATCAACGTAGTAATTTATTAAATGTAAAAAATTAAATTAAAAGTCAATTATCTATTAAAAATATTAAATTCTATAGTTCATCATAAAAAAATATTATTATCTAATTAATTAATCAATTATGTATACTTTTTAAAATGTTTATCTAAATTTTGAAATATATTTAACAATTTATTTATTTAAATATAAACTAAATTATATTATTTAAATACAATTTGTCGGAGTTGCTATATTTTGAATAAATATACATTGTTATATAGTAAAACTTATTGCTAACTAATCCATTTCTATGGGATATTCTATTCTTCAATGTGTCTTTTGTGGTTATCTTAAATTTATTTGATTTAAAAATTTGATTACAATTGTGAACATGCAATATAATACGAGAATTTGAAGAAAAATAAAGTTGTAACGAGGTATTCTAATTTTGTTAAGTATAATTTTATTTAGAGTTTAAAATTTTCAAACTAGTTTGTTTGTACTGGAATTTATATTTGATATTTGCAACAAAATCACTTTACTTACTCAATATAAATATACTTTTTTAGGATTCCAATTTTCTTTACCCTAATGAAATCACATGGACCCCCCTTTTTTCATTGTGCTTTTGTAAATGGGAGATAGTATGTGTCACAACAACCTACAATTAATATTGGCTTATTGAAAAAAACTATTGTTGATTTAAAAAAAATTATTGTAATTAAAGGATGTTATAAGTACTTATTATAATTGTAATTGTTATTATATATTTTCCGATACATGATATATAAAAACCATTACTTAATTGCTAAAAGTTTTAGTGGCTATTAATATGCCGGTAAACAAAATAAAATAATTGTCACTAAAAGTAATTTTTGGTCTACTAAATTGAAGATACAAATCTTTTAAAATGTCACAATTTTAATTAAGGATGAGATTTTATTTGAAATAAAATATAATATTTTTCCATGAATTTTAATAAAATTTTAAATAATTAAATTAATTTCGTTAATGTTAATTTTAAGGAAAAAAATATGCAAAAGCTTTGAGAAAATAAAAGTTGATAAACGGATTTAATCACCATAATAAAAATATTTAAAAATTAAATTTAAATTAAAAATTATTGAGTAGTTAATGTCAAATATATACAACCTTTCGTAGTGTCCCATCTCCCAACCCTATAAGGGATCAATTTTTTGGTCTTATAACATTTACAGCTCAAAATTAATGTTCAGGGTTTGAGATTGTGACTTTGACCATAACAGTGACCCGATATAGTTAAAAAAATTTTACTAGTGACATTGATGAATAAGAATAATTATTGATTAACCTAATATAATGAAATATATGTTATAAAATAAGTTATCAACTTCCCAACTCATTATATAAAGGATCTGGTTTAAAGTTTGATAATTTTATAAAGGTTTTTTTATTGAAATATTTTGACGTCTATGTTAGAAAAAGAAAAGAGTTTTGGATTAGAAGGCTAAGTTTAAGTATACATTCATTAGTTATATATCAGTAGTCGAAGGCATAGTTAATAAAATCTTTCTCCCTTAATTTACTAAACCACTTACAAACAAAATCAAGATGAATTAAAACTTTAAAAGAAAGAATACTTCCCATGCATGCAGCAGAAGATTACTTTTTTTCTAGAAGGAACACAGTTTAATAAAAAAAAGATAACTCTTTTAAAATTTAAAAGTATTTGTTGGATAGTAAAAGTTCACATTCTCTATTCCTATTCTAAATTCTTATTCAAATATAATCATGTCTAATGCAGTTCTTCTGCAGACGGGACAAAGATTCTTCTGCATTAGCCACTGTTTGATGCAATGAAAGTGAAACTTGTGCACACATGAATGCAGCTTCCCGATATCCTCTCCGTTGGCATATTCTTCCTGTAGATGGAAACAAATTTTGTAAGAGAAAGGTTAATACAACACAAAGAATGAACATGCACACAATATTTCCACAAAAGAGAGTTCACGAAACAATGACATTAAAAAGCAGATAGAAATACTATTTACATCCGAGAAAATAATAACCTAGCTTGTTAACAGAATAGTAGAAATGAAATATAGAAATATCTATTTTCGCATTAAGGATTAGAGATTTTCATGTGTCTGACTTAACATCTCAAATAATTATGGATGAACATGCAGCAGGACTCACCAGACAGACGGGGCATTTTTCTTGATCTTCTTCTGGATTATCTTCATCAACAACCAGGAAAGTCTCACGCTCCATGTGCTGCGCGATCATTTCCTGACTCAGTCCCGTGGATGGTGGCGACATCTCAAATATTTCGGGGTTCTCTATCTGCTTCAAATAATATTTTTGAAAGCAATAATCAAACCAATTAGTTTATTTTAAACTAGAATGGGAATATACTCTTCACTAGGAAAATAAGTGCAAATGCATTAATTCCCTTTAAACTATACTTTAAAAAGAAATGTTAAACATAATAAGTTGTAGGAACTTTTCAAAAAATAAATGGAAAGGACCAATTGGAAGGGATAAAAGTTTCAAAGATGGACAATGAACTGCCAATTTCTGGTTAGATTTGCGGAAAAAATAGATTGGGGAAGCAGTTTGGAGTTGTACTGGTTCTGAAAGCCAGGTCTAATTTAAGTTCGAAGTTTACAAATTTTTTTGGAAGATTATAAAGGAATTATGGAAAAAATACTGAATTCTTGGAAGGATTGAAGAACATAGACCAAAATCTATTCATAGATCACTTCACATGTATAAGATTTTAGCTAAGGCTTTAGCTAGTTGGAAATGAAGATAGTATTTTTTGTATAATTAAACTCTATTTAATAAAAATAGGCAAATTAGGGATGGATGGTTGTACTAAATTAAGTAATTAATGAAGCAGGAAAAGAGCAACAAAATGTTATTATTTTAAAATAGATTTTTAAAAGACATGTGACTCTATTTTTGGGACTTTTTAGACCATATTTAAGATGAAAAATGGAGTCCTTTACGGACAAATAGAGGGTGTGGACAAGGTAATGTGTGTCAAGTGCAGCAGTGGAAATTTTATTGTATGTTTGGGATTGGGTAGTAGTATCCCTTCACATTTACAAAATGTGTTATAGTATTATTTTAAATAAAATAAGGAGTATTTCATACCCTTTTAAGTTATACCTAGTTTATATGCATATAAATGGGTTATATAAATTATAATAAAATACTAATGATTTCAAAATTTTCATTTCAATAAATCGAATAGGATAAGCGTTAAGTCATAAATAAGAAAAAAAAACTGTGTTTCTAATTTGAAAAGGATAATTTGGGTTACAAGAAGAATATTAATTCAAATATGAGAGTCAACAATGTCTAAAATCAATATTTTAAAACATCAAGGGCCGAAAGAAATTTTGGAGATTAAAAATTTATTTTAACTAAAAAGAAAGATAGGAAGGAAATGTAACCATAAATAAAGACAATTTGTGCACAGCATACTATCAATGATTATTTCATAGGAAAAATATATAAATATGAAGAAGAAAGATAAAATAATAAGGGAAAAAGTGATAGATGTGATGAAAAAGGAAGAAAGAGTTAGATAAAAAAAATAGCAAAAATGAGTAGAAATAGAAAGTGATAGATTAGATAAAATGTCACGAGAAAAGAAGATCAAAGATAGAAAATATGATAGAAATGAAAAACAAAAAAAAATATGTATAAATGTTTACACAGAATTTGAGTGTAAGAGCATGAAAATCTACCTCGAGCATTAGACCACGACCATCTCTGAGAGAATGCAGGAGCGATTGAAACTGCATAAAAAAAACAGTTGATTAGGTGAAAGCTAAATTAATTATCAAATAAATTAAGATGGCAAACAAACAAAAATGTCTGCATCAACCGCGAAAGAGAAAGAGTGATAAAATTTGCAACTTAAATATACATTCAAAATGTGTAATAATCAATCAACGTGTATACGACTTCAATGCATCATAGTTTAGTTCACTTTACTTATACAAGAGTTTTTCTGGACTTAATTAAGGAAACTCGATCGTGCCATTTTGTCATGGATGGTATAGAACTATTAAAGAAGTATGAGACTAGTTAATGGAGAATGGTCAATTCCTTTCCTCTTTAGAAATCCTGCAACAAGCCTTCATTAATATTCTTATATATATGTCTTGTCAAAATGGCTCACACGAACTATTTAATACATTGTTTTGGTTATGATCGAGGAGGCACTGATTGTTAGGATCGAGCCGCTACCACTAGGCCAAAAGCCTATAGCCATTAATCGTAGCCGCAACTCTTTTTACTTTAACGTACTTCAAGCGCCACGATTCAATCGTGACTCGACCACCCGACCTTCGTCACGAGACGATTGATGCTACCTACAACAATCTCCCCTCAACGAATTGTCCTACAAGGTATCCCACTCTTGGATTGTGACTTGGCCCACCCGCCTCCGCCACGGACAATTGTGCAACCTCGCAACAATCTCCCCTCAACAATTGCCCACCAGGAATCGAACTCGTGACCTAGGCTCGATACCAATTGTTAGGATCGAGCGCTACCACTAGGCCAAAAGCTATAGCCATTAGTCGAGCGCAACTCTTTTACTTTAACGACTCAAGCGCCACGATTCAATCGCGACTCACCACTCGACCTTCGTCACAGGACGATTGATGATACCCGCAACACCGATGCTACATCTATTGCATGAATTTATACGCTTTAGAAAGGTAATGGAACTATGCATGTCAGAGATATAGAGACTGATAAAAGCTAGAAACATACATTTAGGGTTTTTTTTTTTTTTTATTGTTACATGTTCCATCATAAAAACTTATATACAAGTCTGTATATCATCAAAGTACACAACAAACTCTAAGTACTTATATGAAAGTTCAATAATAGTAAGATTAAACTCTATCTTCTTAAACGTATGACACGTCGACAATTGTTTTCCTCTCTGGATTTTAAATTATCTCGCACTATGAGGAAAAAATTTAACAATATCATAACAGGGATAGACATGTATATATTGACACTTCATGCTATTCAACATATTAAGAAAGAAAATAAAGAGCTATAGATATAATAAGCAATATATACATGATAAGAAGATGATAAAAAGTTTTTAGAACTTGACCATTTCATTCCTACTAAACAATTCATATACATTAAACTTACATATTTTGCATTTCTTAAATTTATATATTAACTCCACTATCAAGTAACAAATTTATACGCAGGCCTAAAAATTAGGGCTAATTAGGAAAATATCCGATTATAAGAAGTTTAAAGCAATTGAGCATACCTCAGATGGAAACGCTCTTAACGTTTCAAGAGAAGGAAATGGTGGTATTTCCCCAAGACTATGGTGGTTCGAGGTGCCACTTGCTGCATCAGAATGGTGCATTCCTCGTGAGCCTTGTGGAGGAACCCAAGTTGAAGAGCTAGCATGATCACTCAGAGGGTAGTACGTATTCGCTTGAGCATTACGAACTCTACCCAAATTGCCCACAATTCCAGGTAGTAATTCCAGTGTTTCCGATTCCGAGGGTTCAAACTGATGTGGGAGAACAAAAGAAAGAGCCCTTCTAGCAGTCTCACGATCAGTATCAGAATTAGTATCAACGTAAGACCTGTTTGGTCGATAAGTGGGAAAATTACCCATAGACGTAAGAAGGGGACCAACCATGTTGTTTCCGTTTTCATAAAATGGAATCATGGTATCCCCTCCAGCATGTGGACATGGGGAAGAAATTGAGTGAGGAGCATTTCTCATGCTTATAATGTTAACATTGGAGCTAGAATTTGACATGAATGACCAACTATGAAAAGAAAGAGGATGAACCGAATGTGAAGATTGGAGAGAAGTATGTACGGAATCTGTTGAGCCTCCATTGAAATGTAAACTTGCTTCGCTTAGTATCAGGGCATGTGAAGAAGATTGAAGAGGAGACTGTAGGGAATGTGTTGAGCCTCCATTGAAGTACGAACTCGCTTCGCTTGGTATCAGACCATGATAATCTCTTCTTTCATTATTAGTGATCCTGTTAGCTCGCGTAATGGGTGGAGGGACAGTTGTTATTGCATTATTTGGATTAGCATGGTCATCACGTAGGAATTGATGTTGTTGTTGCATAAGAGAAAATGATGGTGGTGATGAGTTCATATTATTGTTAGCTATCACGTGAGACTCGGTAGCAGCTCTCTTGATTTCTCCAGTTTCTTGACCCATGTTTGAACTTTCACCTTGATGAAATTCTCGAGAAACATGATCAGGGAAACTCCTTTTTCTGGGAATGTTCACTGAGTTTGAGTTGCTTCCATGCACGCTAGGTGCAACATTTGAACTTGGAATCACAGCAGAAGATATTGTTGCACCCTGACGGCTTAAGCCAAAATTCAGAGACAAATCTACATTTTCCGAACGATTTGGAGGAGTTCCAAAAAAGGAGCTTGAAGAGAAAAGGTTTGATTCCGGCGCTATAAAAGGGGTTTCATGAATTGGAACATTAGTTCTGGTACCACTGTTGTTGGCACCGTGTTGAGGGAGATTCAGTTCTGGCTGAGGAAACCCTTCCTCAGTAGAAATGCGGGGAAATAAAGGAAGCAACCTCTCCAAGGTTTCAATTGAAAGGTGAGGGCTGGATTCATTTTGGTTGTTTGCATTATCATGTCCAGCTGAGCCACCTTCAAGAAAATGGACATCAAATAGTTAAGAGTGTCAAAAAGAAATGTTGGAGAGAGGAATGATCTCACCTTGAGGATTCATTGTTGCTAAATTAACTTGTGAAGGCCGAAGATTCAAAGTAAAGACAGTAATGAGGAGCAGGTGATGTGGAATCCACTACACCTGAATTCCCAAAGAAATTATTACTAAAGATCTCAATAGAAATTGCACTGCAGATAGTTAAAAAAGACTCTACTTTAAAGAATTAAAACTAAAACTCGTAATATAAGTTATGAAAAAAAGTTGGGTGTGCTACCTTTTTGGTTGGACTTACAAATTACTACATCTAACTTGACAATATAAGAGAGAACAGGAACAAGTAAAAAGTAACAAGTTAATTAACTCTACAAACAAGGTATTGACATGAATAAAAATAATGCTAAACTCTCGCTTCATATTTAATATATTACAAGTTGATATATATATATATATATATATATATATATATATATATATATATATATATATATATATATATATATCTCATACCTTTAGTATTAAGAAAAAAACTACCAAGTAAAAAAATTTCCCATCATGTTTCAAGTGAATGTCATTAGTATGATAACAATTATGTCTCAAAATTTGGCATAGATCGGTATCTATTTATAAATCTTTCATGTACTGATACAATAATTAAAGGTGGCAGAGGGTTGGATACAATAATATAGTTCTTTCGGCTATTAAAAAAAATTAAAGTTCTTACGCAAGTAAAATATATTTACTATAACCCATATGTACTCACACACGATGTTAATTAAGTACACAAAACATGTCACTCATTTGGATTGCAGTAATCCAAACCTCACTTAGAATGCCTCAAATACCAAGATCATATTCCAATCTCATTTAACTCTCTATTTGATTCAATGACTACAATATTTTCTTCTAATATTTTACTAATCTTGTAAAAATTGAAACATAAAATTGAGGGTTCAGATTAAAGAGTTCTTCTCTCTCCGACAGCAGAAAATACCTAAATCGAGTCAATTGTATAAATTATTGATTTAAAATCCTACTTTTCTCTGAATTTTATTATTTTAAAATTAGAATGTACCATTAATTAAAAAATCATCTCAGGAATATTATGTTAAATAAAAAATGTGAGTTTCTTTTAAAAATAGATAAGTAAAATAAAAATATAACTTACAAATAAAATTAATAGAGTAGTTTGATCTAAATTTTATTTTTGAAATACAATTTGATGTATAAGAATTAGAACACCCTTTACTCTATTTTGCTTTTCAAAAAAACAAGAACATTGTAGACAATCATAAACCCAAAATATCAAAACGCGTAGGGCAGATCGGTAAATAGAAAAATAAAAAAACGAATCTTTAAAGTGTTCTGAAACAAAACATCCCGCACAGATCAAAACCCCATTTTGAAAATTAAAAACAACCATCACAGAGGGAAAAACCAGATCCCACTAGAACAGTAAATGACATATAAAAAGGATAGAAAGATGAAGAGGATACCCACTGGATCTGCTGAAATAAGGGCACTGAACAGCAGTGAAAGTTGAGAGCTTTGTGTCACGCAATTTCTCACACTCTGTACCTCAACTGTGTATATCTTTAAGACTTGAACCCTGAACAGTGAAGGGTGAGAGTAGTGTCATTTTATAAACACAATTAACCAGGGTTGTCTTGCAAACGTAGAGTTTGAATTATTATAGAAAATCTCTTACGTTGATTATACTTATATGGAAATGGAACTCGTAAATTTCAGAAACGCATCTGAACTATTCTGTCATAGAGCAACATTGACAAATGTTCCAAAGCTCATCCTCGTGTCACCTTTCTCACCCTTCCACTCACCTTTTCTATCCCCTACTCGCACCGTTTCACTATTTGGTGGTTTGTTCAAATTTTTATAATTTCTTTTTTATTTCAAGAAATATTGGTCAACGAAGAAAATTAATAAATAATTAAATCTTCATTTATTTCTTTGAAAAAAAAATTAACTATATTATTTTTAATCTGTTTAATTTAACTGTCTGCAAACATTTAATAATTTCTTTATTTCTGTTTTTTTATATTAATTTAAAAATGTACTTTTATTTAATTTTATCTATTTCTTTACTCGGTGTGAACATTTTCCTTATCCTCCGTTGAACTCATTCATTTGTCTGTATTCTAAATTTCAAACGAGAGGTTTTTTCTATGGATTAAAAGCTGTTTCTTTTTTATTTTATTTCCAATAGTCACCAACATGTGTTTCAAATCTTCCGTCAATTTTTTTAATAACTTAAATGGTATATTAATTAGATAGGAGTTTTTTTTTCTTTAAATTTAATAAATAGTCTCATCATTGTTTTTTGAAAACATTTGAAATTTTTTTTATGTCGATAACATTGTTACATATAAGATGAACATAGACTGAGTCATACCCGACTTTTTTATAGGCTTAGATCTTATCTATTGAGATTTTATTTTATTTATTATTTTCGTAAATTATAGGTTGTATAATAATTGGTTATATTTGTATAATTGTTTCTCAAATAATAATAATTTTACTTTGTGTGGTAGTTTTTTGTTCCTCAACCCTTGTATTTTTAAGGACATCCAAATAAAATAAATAGTTGTTTATGGTATTAAGAGGAAAAAAAATTGTATTATTTAGATTTGATGTTAAAAAAATTTATTGAGTTATTACAAATTTTTGTTATGAATAATTCTTAGAAAGGAATTAAACAATCTAAAATATAGCATGATATCTTAATAGTATCTCATTTAGATATTTAAAAATATTATTTTATAATTTATTTATAAAAAATGATATTTCTAGTTTTTATTATGATTTTTTATAATTTAAAAAAATATAAAATTTATTTTTCATTAATCTTAAATATTTTTTATCTTTTACCGTAATACATTCTAGTTTGAGGCTAAAATTTAAACTTTAGATTATGTCACTAGTTTGAATTACTTTTATGAATTATTATACTTAATTATGGTTTAGAAAAACTTGATTATGCTTAATAAAATCTAAAAAAAATAGATAATTTTATTATTTTTAAGTTTTGTAAAATGGTAAGAACTAAGTATGATGTTCAAATTTAGATTTTGTACAGTAATGATAAATGTGAGGAGTATAAAAAATTTAATCTCCAAGATAAAATATTGTTATGAACGAAAAAATGAACTCTCTTAAAAAATAAAACTTAAACCCATTTTTTTAACAGAAAAGAAGTCAATATAGAATATAAAAAAATTTATAGTGTTAAACATAAAATAGATGACAATAAAAATATTTGAAATATGACTTGTGAGAAATGATATATGGAAACAGGTAAGGTAGATTACCCAAACACTTACTCCAGTATTGAAAATTAACATTCTTGTACAATAAAATTGTTGTATTTTTTAATCATTACATACTTAAACGCAGGAAGATGATAGCAAAAAAAAAAAATTACTTTGTTAACTTTGAATTTATGATTTTATATCATTAAATGAAGATATTTAATAAATATTTATTGCTAGCACTTATTTTTCCCTCATTAAGCTCTTTTTATCTACTGGTTTTATCTGGTAATGGGTGCCAATATACAATTTAAATTTTTTAAAGAGGTAAATTGAGTTGGTAATGAATATTTTTGCAATAAATTGAAAAGAGAGAGGATTTTTTTTTTTGTAACAATATACAGGATAAAAATTGATATTTTCAAAATAGGTAATAAAAACATTAGTTATTAAAAATAATGCATTTTTTTAGTGAAAAAATCAAGCTTTTTTCTAAAAAAAATAAATAAGCTCTTTCGTTTTATTTAAAATATTTGGATTCCATTGTTGATTAAACAACTATAAAGTTTGATGAGCATTTAGAAGTAGAGGTGTATGAAGCATATGAAGTTTGGAGAGGGTTTCCGCATTGCTGGATGCATCTCTTCAACGTCACCTCGCAAAGTTGGCTACGATAGCATGAGGGAGCAAAGCATAAATCCAATGAAGGAGCCCGTAAGAAAGAAAAGACATTCATGAAGAGTGGATAGAAAAGCCATTACGCAGCCCATGTAACTTTTACCAAATTCATCAAAAGGTAAAAATTTCAGCGTTGACAATGTAGTGTTCAACAATGAAAAATTAGTTCAATTTCCAACTAGTTTATTTTTATAGAATTCATAAAAAGTTCTACTTCAGTCTATCCTTCCAACCATCCTATTGTTTCTTCTTCCAGCACATTTTAACTTTCCTTCCATTCTCATAAACACACTATTACAGATAGAAATAATCATTTTTCAGATTTTCTTCAGTAATTTGCAAATCCAACGCAACTCTTCTGCAAACTGGACAAATGTTTTTCTGCAGGAGCCACTGTTTGATGCAATCAAAGTGAAACTTGTGCTCACATGAATGCAGCTTCCCGATTTGCGATCCGTTTTCAAATTTTTCCTGTAGATGGAAACAGATTTTGTAAAAGAAAGGTCAATAGAAGACTAAGTGTGAACATGCACACAATTTCCACAAGAAGTAAACAATGAAGTGAAGCAGATAAAAATAGTATCTATATCCAAGAAAATAATCGCCTAACTGGTTAATAGAATGGTAGAAATATCTATTTTCACAACTACCATTTAAAGAGTTTCATGTGTTGAGTTAACCTCTCAAAATAACTAGGAATAAAAATGTAGCGGGACTCACCACACAGACGGGGCATCTTTCTGTATTTCCTTCTGGATGATCTCCACGAACATCCTGATAAGTCTCACTCTCCATGCGCTGCATGATCGTTTCCAGACTCAGTCCCGTAGATGGTTCAGGGCTCTGTATCTGCTTCAAATACTCATTTTTATAGCAATAATCAACCAAATAATTTATTCTAAACCAGAATGGAAATCTACCCTTCAATAGGAAAATAAGTGCAAATGCATTGCTTCCTATCAAACTAGAATTAAAAAAAAAATGCTAAATAGTAGAAACTTCTCAAGATTTATTTCCAGAAAAATAAATGGAAAATATACCAAATTTGGGAAGGAATAAAAGTCAGGCAATTTAGAGTTGTAAAGATTCCAAAAGTCAGGCTTAATGATAAATTTCGAAGTTTATCAGAAGTTTTGGATGATTTCCCCTTTGTTTACTTAGTGCTGAAGAAGCGAATTCAACCAAGATTGAAGAACACAGACCAATTTCATTCTTAGGCCGCATGCATAAGATTTCAGCAAAGGCTTTAAGTATAGGAAATTAATGGAGAGAGTAATTTTTGGACAACTAAACTGTATTTATTAAAAATAAGCAGATTATGGCTGCACGAAAATGAGGTAATTGAAGTAGGAGAAAACACCTGCCAAAATATTAAAATAGATTTTGAAAAGACACGTGACTCTATTTGTTGGGATTTCTTAGACTACATGAGTTGAAAATGATAATGAAAAATGGAGGGGTGGACAAAAATGTGTCTCAAGATTGGAAATTTTATGGAATAAGGAACAATATTAATTCAAATTTGAGAGTCAAATGTCTAAAATGATTATTTTAAAACATAAAGGGCCGAAAGAAATTTTAATAAAAAGATGAAGGATTAAAAACATATTTTATTTAAAAATAGAAAGATAAGAAGGAAAAGTAGCCATAATGAAAGACAAGTTGTGCACATCATAACATCCATGATCAATTTAACGGAAAAATATATAAAGAAGAAAGAGAACGAAAAAATAAACAGAGAAAGTAATAGATGTTATGAAAAAGGAAGAGAGAATTAGATCAAACAAATAAGGATAAAAAATGGATGAGAAAATGAATGCATGAATAATATAATAATGAATCAATATCATACCTCAAACGTCTGTAACAAAAATGAGTAGAGTATAGTAACATCAAATCTTAAAAGATTTCAACATGCTTGTTTAATTAAAATGGTTAAAAGTGATGACAAATTAAAAGCAAACTGAATACTATTATGAACCATAGAAACATTGAATATTATAATTAATTCATCAGGATACTAATAACTAATAATGCACACTCGAAGAGTAAAAAGAAAAAAAAATGAAAAAACAAAGTGTATCAGAGTTTGATATTTATTTTTTTTCATAACAAGTTATGATTATAACAACCATAATTCAAAACATCAATCTTTGTGCAAACACATTATAAATTGTAAGAGCATTCAAATACATTTGTGCGAAAATCTACCTCGAATATTAGACCGCGACCATGGCTTAGAGAATCCACGATAGTTTGGACCTGTATGAAAAAAGAAAAAAAAAACAGCGAAAGAGAAAGAGTGACATAAAATTTTCAACTTAAAAATACGTTCAAAATGTGTAATATTCAGTCAACATGTATACGACTTTAATGCATCGAAGTTTGGTTCACTTTAATTATACAAGTATTTTTTTGGACTGAATTAAGGAAACTCGATGTTGCCATTCTGTTGTCATGGATGGTATAGAAAAATTAAAGAAATATAAGATTAGTTAATGGAGAATGGTTCACAGCTTTCCACTTTATATATTCTGCAGAAAGCTTCATAAAGACTCTAATATATTGCTCTGAGTATCAATTTTTTTTTGTCTCAGAAAGAATGAGATCATACGATTTATTTTGAGGTATAAACATAAAAAAAAAAAGTAAATAAGTTGATGTTGAAATTCATGTTTGAGTTGAAGTTACACATTAAACAAAATTGAAGTTGAGTAGCATGAAAATGAAAAAAAAAAAAAAACTCAGAGACTTGTAAGCAGTGTCTACCTTGTGTCCCATTGAATAGTCTCCTTTCAAAAACCCTTATTTAGTACCTTCTTTTTTTCGTATAGTAAATATAAAAGTTGTTTTATTTGCTAATAATAATAATATAAGTATGTAGTCAATGTATATTAAAATACGGAGCATGGGAATCACCTTTCAACAAATGCACTTGAGATGGTAAAAGCATTGAGCATACCTGAGGTGGAAGACTTCTTCTCGTTTCAGCAGAAACAACATTGGGTGGAGTTGCAGATGCTGATGTTTGCTGAGGACTCTGATGGTTCTGAGTGCCAGAACTATTTGCTCCGGCAGAATGGTTCATTCCTGGTGAGGCCTGTGGCGGAGCCCATGTTGAAGTGCTAGGATGTTCATAAAATGGAATTACAATATCGAACCTAGGATGTGGGCAAGGGGATGATCTTGAGTCAGGAATAGTCCTCACGATTATGTTGTTAACAGTGGGGGTAGCACTGGACATGAATGAACTAGCCTGAAAAGTTATAGGCTGAACGGGACGAAAGCATGGGTGAGAAGGCTGACGGGCTCCGTTGAAATACAAACTCGCTTGGCTTGGTATCACAGCATGAGAAGCGTTTCTCCCAATATTAGTATTAGCGTTTCCATTAGCACGCGTATTGGGTGGTCGAATAGGTGCTCCTGCATTCTGCATTGAAATAGGTGTCCGTGCAATGCGTGGCCGAATAGGTGCCCGTGCAATGCGTGGCCGAACAGGTACCCCTCCATTGCGTTGGCGAATAGGTGCTCCTGCATTGTTTGGTGGAATAGGTGCTCCTGCATTGGGTGGGTTCACATTGTTGTTAGCTCTCACCTCAGACTCAGTAGCAAGCCTTTTATCCTCTCCACTGTGTTGTTGACCCATGCTTGAACTTTCACCCCGATGAAAATTTCCAGAAGCATGGTCAGGAAAGCTTCTTTTTCTTGGAATGTTCACTGTGTTCGAGTTGCTTCCAGCAAGGGAGTTTGAAGAGGTAATGTTAGAATCCGGTGCTACAGGGGTTTGATGAAGCAGAACATCAGAACTGGTACCATTGTTGTTGTCATCTTGTTGAGGGAGATTCAGTACTGGCTGAACATCAACATTAGGAGCTTCTTGAGGAGGAGCAGTGCTGAGACGATTGTTGTCACCTTGTTGAGGGAGATTCACTACTGGCTGGAGAAACCCTTCAACATTAGGAGCTTCATGAAGAGGAGCAGTGCTAAGGCGATTGTTGGCACTTTCTTGAGGGAGATCCACTTCAGGGTGAGGAAACCCATCAAAGAACCCTTCCTCATAATGGCTGTTTCCGTTAGCTTGTCCAGATGAGCCACCTTTAACAGAAAGGGCATCAAATAGTTGAAGTGTGGTCACGAAGAAATGTTGGAGAGAGAAATGATCTCACCTTGAGGATTCATTCTTGCTAAATTAACTTGTGAAGGTGGAAGGTTCCAAGTAAAGACAGTAATGTAGCTCCTACTGGGTCACTGAACCTGCATGAGAGAGTATTAAGAAACATCATACATAATATTGTTTCAAAACACTGAACTTATTTGCTTCTAACTCAAGTGCCAATGTAAAGCAACAGTGTCTAAATGAAATGATTATCGTTTATCCTATTGAAAATAAAAAGGCATGTTAAATGCGTCATTGAACATAATATAAGAATGGATATAATATGTTGTAAATATACGAATAATCATGGATAATTTGGTTTTTAATTCCTGCAAATGGAATTCAATATTTAATCGTTATAAATGTGTAGTATCAAACAAATAGATTGAATATGCAAGCAGGAATTAGTATTCAAACATGGTAATAATAGGAATTGCATTAAAAAACTCATAATCATAGATGTATGTCAGCAAAAAAAATTGAGATACCTTTCTGGTTGGACTTATAAGTTAAATTAACACTTCTAACTTGAAAAATATAAGAAATAGAAGAATAACACCTAAAAAGGTTACAAGGCAATTCTTCAAACCAAATATTGATATGAACAAAAGTAACAGTGTCCAACAATTGATGTATAAATGCTAAAATTTTCGCTATATATTTAATATTGAGAGAATAATGCAGAGCAAATTTTTCCCTTAATGTTTCAAGTGAATGTCATTAGTATAATCATAAACTATGTCTTAAATTTTGCATATATCGGTATCTATTTATAATAATATTTCATTAACTTATACAATAATTGAAGATGTTACAGGGTTTGGATAGAACCAAACTAATAAGTTTATATGACGATGAATAATGTTATTTTTTCTCATAAAAACATATATTTCCTAACCCATATATACCAGCACAGGAGTATGTTAAATACACAAAAGAGATCACTTTGGACCATACAGTAATGATACAATCTCACTTGTAAAAAAAGTTGTTTAAACTTAATTTTTTTTTTAAATAAATACGTTTTAAAATTAAATTTAAAAGACAAATAAGATTTACTTATTAAAAAATATATAAAAGTACTCATTTTTAAAATAAAACAATTAGACAAAAAAATATATATATATATATATATATATATATATATATATAAATACGAATCTACTTATTTTATTCAATAAAAAAAATACAAACACGTAAAATACCTTAGATGTCAACTTTTTTTCCTTTTAATCGTAAGTCAATCTCATTCAATTGTGTAGTCGTGATTCAGTGACTATATTTTTGAAATTTTATTAAATTGTTAAAATTGAAACATTAAAGAGTCAAATTGTATTACAATGAATATTGTTAATAAAAATTATTGATTAATAGAGAATTACTTAAAATCGAAGAGAAATGTTTATAAAGAACCTTTTTAGTGTTCTGATCTTAAACTTAACATATGTTTTTAACAAAATTTGAATTTATTATTTAAATATAAGAACTATTTCATTTTAGAAAAATTATTTCTGAGATATTACGTTAAAAAAATGTGAAATTCTCTTTAAAAATAGATAAGTAAAATAAAAATGTAACTTAAAATAAAACTAATAGAGGAGTTTAATCTAAAACTTTTTGATCTAGAGTACCCTTTACTCTAAGCCACTAAATTTTATTTTGCTTTCAAAAAGAAATTGAAATCGAAAACCCAAAATAAACCTCTTAGGGAAAATCGGATAATAGAGAAATAAAAAAAGCGAGTCTTTTCTTTTCAGTGAAATCGGATCTTTTAAGACACGATGAATGTTCAGATCAACGAAAATTAAGCATGCAAAAGTGGTCCGAAACAACACAGCCACGCACATCAGAACCCATTTTGAAATAATAATAATAATAATAATAATAATAATAATAATAATAATAATAATAATAATAATAATAATAAACCATCAAAGGGAAAAAAAAAAAGAAAAAAAAAGAAGGAAAAACGAGATCCAATTAGAACAAGAAATGACATATAAAAAGAATAGAGAGATGAAGAGAATACCCACTGGATCTGGTGAAATAAGGGCACTGAGCAGCAGCAAAGTTGATAGCTTTGTTCACTTTGTCTGTCACGCAATTTCTCTCACACTGTGTGGGACTCAATTGTGTATATCTTCTTAGCTTGAAGTGAATAGGGAAGAATGAGACCACTTCATTTATAAACACAATTAATCAGGGTTGACTTTGGATTTATGTAGAAATTATCTTTCTTACGTTGATATGGAAATGGAACTTTTGAATTTCACACACAGATGTGAAGCATGATGTCACAGAACACATCTCACAAAATGTCCCAAAGCGCATCCTCATACACTTTTCTCCCCTTTTCACTCTCCTTTTCCGCTCTTCCCGCTAGTTCTCAACTTTCATTTGGCTGATTGTGAAAAACATATCAACTCCTTCTCCATTTTATTTTATTTTTTAAGAAAATATGGTCGATGAATAAAAGAAAAAAAAGCATTAATTATTTTCATATTTCTTTTCTAAAATAAATTCAAATATATTATTTTTAATGTGTTTAATTGTAACTGTGTACAAGCATTAATAGCTTTATTTCTTCTTTTCTATATTCATTTAAAACTATTCTTTTTTTACAAGCGGTGCGAACGTTTTTTCTTACTTTCCATTGAACTCATTTGTCTCCATTCTACACCAACGATGAAGTATACTTCAATACGAAAGTGTGTTATTAATGGAGGTGATAAATTTATTAGATGATGTAATATAGATTAAAGATTTATTTATTTTTATCTTTTATTATAATTTTTGTGAGAACGTGAGAAGAGAAGTTCTATAAATAATTATATGTTGGTATTTATTTTTCCTGTTATAAAAGGAGTATTATGTCTGTCTTGTAAATTACATAAAACTTTTTCTTTCTCTTTTCTAATAATACATTGCATAGTAGTTGAATTCTCTTATTTCTGAGAGAGAATATTATTATTGTTTTCTCTTTAGATTTAAATAGGGTATTGTAATTTTGTTCGGTAGTAAAATTATATTATTGTCTATTATCTATTTTGTTTCTCTTTTCTCATCTTTTATTTTAGTTGTGAGTTCTTATATAGTTACTATGATTCCTAATAATAGTATCAGAGCAATCACTGATGGTTGATTTCTTTTCGCTGTTATAGTCATTAGAATAATGTTAAAGAAAATTCTTATTATGCTCTGTGATGACTGATTTCTTATTTATGATATTATTTTGCTGTTATAGTCATTAAAATAGTGTTATAGGAAATTCTTAGTATGTTCTGTGGTTGCGATCAATCTGATCTTACACATCAGAAGATAGTTATTCTAGTTACTGGATATAAAGCATAGTAGTGTAATAGTGCAATTCTAGGAAAAGTTCTGTAAAGACTTGATATTTAAGTGTGTCTATTAGTGACTCACCTCTCTTTTCTGGGAGCTTATCTAGTCTACTAGTTACAGTTTGCACTATTGTTCCAGTAAACAATATTATTCATAGCGAAAGGTGCATAAGTCGGTTAAAATTATGACAAGAAAATATGAGATAGAGAAGTTTAATGAGAATAATTTCTCATTGTAGAAACTGAAGACGGAGACAAGTTTAAGAAAAGACAATTGTGTACAAGTAATTGGAAACAGATCGTGGGCATCATAGATCGAAGGTGGAAAAAATTAACAATAACGCTATAGCAAATTTGTGGAGAAGGGTATAAAGAAGAAAATTTAATAGTCCCTCATCAAATTGCAAATTTGTGGAGAATGGTATAAAGAAAGAAATTTGGGAGTCATTCGTCAAATTATATCACAAGGAAATACATATTGGACTTAGTTTATTATGATGGGTTGGAATCACCGGTATTATCCCTAGGAGGGGTCAAATATTTGTGTCAGTGATGACAATGATTACTCTAGGAGATTATGGATGTACCACATCAAGAGGAAGTTTGTGTTTTCAAAGTTTGGGAAAGACAAATTCTTGGACTTTGCTAATAATGTGAAAGGGTATTTCCTGTGGATTCCATTATCCATAAGGTTATTGTTAGTGGTGATACAAATATTGTTTTTTCTTCAAGGTAAACTTAGATAAATGATTGGTGTGCTGCAACCAGAAGACTTAAAAAAAAAAAAAACTTAGTTTGCAAGTTGACCAAATATCTGTACGATTTAAACCGGGTGTTCAAGTGTTAGTACAAGAGATTTGATTCTTCATGATTAGCATTGATTACAACAGACTAAGTTCAGACTATTGTACCTATTACATTAGATTTAATGAAAATGATTTTATCATTTTGTCATTGTTTGTGGATGACATGTTGGTGTAGGCTCCAACAAAGTTCGAATCCAGGTTTTGAAGGCACAGTTGGCTAGGAAGTATGATGTGAAGAACTAGGGACCAACAAATAATATTTTAGGGATGCAAATTCATTGGGACTTAAAAAATAGGAAGGTTTAACTTTATCAGAAGATTACTTACTGAAGGTCTTGCAGTGTTTCAACATGCATGAGTGTAAGCCAATTTTTACCCCATTTTCTATCAAGTTATCCTCAAGTATGAATCCTAACAATAAAGTAGGGAGGATGGAAATGTCTCACGTATTGTATACATCAACGATGAGAAGTCTTATGAATATCATGATCGGTACAAGACCAAGCATTCCATAAGTAGTGGAAGCTGTTAGTATATCAATGGAAAATTGTGATGGAGAGCATGAGTATTATCAAGAAAATTCTTATCAAATGAACCTTGGATGTTGTATTATGTTTCAGAGGATCAAACTAGTTGTTAGATGCTATGTTTATTCAGGTTTTGCAGGTGATCTTGATGAGTTTACCTTTGTTGGAGAGACAATAACTGGTTATCCAAGTTATTGAATGTTGTAGCGCTGTTTATCACAGAAGCTGAGTACATGGCAATAGATTGTTGCGTATTGTGACAGTCAAAGTGTCTTGCACATTGTAAAGAATCCTATCTCATATTTCAGGATAAAGCAAGAAGAACCTAGCAGATGTTATGACAGTCGGTTAGTAGTGACAAGTTTACATAGAGGCGATCCTACTTAAGGTCTATTGCAATAACAACAAGGCAGACAATAATAATGTATTGTGAAGATTTGATTAATTTAATCAAAACTTTCAAGTGGGAGATTGTGAGAATGTGAGAAGAGAAATCCCACATCAGAGAATTATATGTTGGTGCTTACTTTTCTTGTTATAAAAGGAGTACCATATCTACCTTGTAAAATCGCCTCAAATCTCTTCTTTCTCCTTTCTACTAGTACATTACATAATAGTTTAATTCTCTTATTTCTGAGAGAGAATATTATTATTGTTTTATCTTTAGATTTAAAGAGGGTATGGAGTAGGAGGTCGCGGTGCCATCTTATATCAAACACAACCATAAATATAGAGCAAACATTCACACACACTCACATATCAGAGCATAACAGACTTATCATAGGGTCACTACACATCTCCACAGATATCAGAGCACAACAGACTTATCATAGGGTCACTACACATCTCCACAGATATCAGAGCACAACAAACTTATCATAGGGTCACTACATATCTCCACAGATTTACAAGTAAATAATAACATCTATATTACATTATATTACTGTAATTGTAATATAAACTGAAATCCCGGTTCACTAGCGGAACCTCAGAACATAGTAACATAATATATTTATATAAATACATGCAAAAGTACCTCCCACAAAGCTACCCCACTGAACTATCCCTACTGTCCAGTATTCGCATCTCTACTTCTTAACTCATGATCTGCTCCCACATAAAAGAGATAATCGCAGTTCCATCCACATGGAAAAATAGGGTTAAGTATTAAATCATTCGATATAATAAAACAAGTATAGAAGTAATAATTACATATTATCATCAATTACAAATCATCAATACACTAAAACGCCTTCCAGAAGTATACCCTAACTATGCCCAAACTCAGAGACTATCATCTATGGGCACATTGTGATCGGCACCCGTAGTACCATTCTGACTACCCTCCACATATGTTAGAAATAGAGGCTGAGATCAAGGGGGGGTGGATTGATCTTTGAAAGATTTTCGCAATTAACAGATTATCTATTTCAAAGATTAAGAAATCTGACCAATTCTTGAATCACACAGCAAGCAATAAAAAATAAATGCAGTCACAGAATTAAAGAAGAGAAAGGTTTAGAAAGATATCACTAAAGTTTATACTGGTTCACCCAATCCCAGGGCTACGTCTAGTCTCCAGCCAAATTCCAGCTGGGTTCCACTAGATTGAATGTTTTACAGATTACAACCTTAATCACACACTCAATCTACCACAAGAACCACAATTCCAGTTCTCGCACCTAACCTTTCACCAAGAACCAAATTCCAGTTCTTGTCCTACCCGTGACCAAATTCCAGCTGCAGAAACCAGTGCCCACAATTCCAGGCACCCACAATACAGTAAAAGAAAGTAAAGAAACAAACAGAAGAAACTAAAACGCTCAAACCAATTTTATGCAGTTCTGCAATATGTGTTTCTTCTCCAAAAGAATGCAATTTTGCCTCAAGAAAGAACTTTGATGAACTTCACAAAAACTAGCGTGATTCTTTCTTGAAAGTAGTACTATTGATTGCTTGATTGATTGCCAAAAGATGTATTTCAGATGATATATAAAAAGTTCAAGCAACTCTGTTTATATAGAAGATTTTCAAAACTGCTGTGTTTAATTAATCTGTTAAAATAATCTTTTAAACTGTTGAAAGTCTTGTTTTAATCTGTTAAATCTTCTTTTAATCCATTAAAACGTTCTTGATTATTTTCCAGATTTGTTTTAACTGATACGACAACGTTTATATCAATTAAAACTCTTTACAAAAAATCTTCCAAATTGTCTTAATCGATTGTTTCGTGTTTCAATCGATTAAAATACTGCAAAACATTTTTATAAACTTTTCCAAGTGATTTTAACTGATAAAAATCTGTTTTAATCGATTAAAGTGCTTAGTACAAGTTTTCTTAAGTTGATTTAATCGATTGAAACGCAGTTTAATCGATTGAAAATATTCTGATTGATCATATGTTGGTTCTGATCGATCATAAAACCATTCTGATCGGTCATCTGCTACTCCAAGTGGTTTTAATCGATTGAAACGAAGTTGTATCGATTAAAATACTGCCAGAACACTTCTCTGAACATTTTAAGTGATTTTAATCGGTTATTTCGAAACTGTATCAGTTAAAATACTGACTGAAGGTTTTTAAAACTTCCTTTAATAAAAACAATCGGTTATTTCGAAGTTATATTAGTTAAAAACCTGTTATAAAAGTGTGAAGAACATTTTAGTTGATAAAACTTATATGCTATTAGTTAAAATAGTTGATTAAGAAAGCTTTTATCAAAATACTTTGTTTTTAACTGTTAAAACATTTTTAGAGGCATTTTGCAAAATCTTTTAAGTGAAGAAACCTCATGCAGCAGAAAAGATAAAAATGATTATACCTAAGCAGAGCTGCAGACACACTAATTCCTCTACTCTTTTATCCAAGTGACCTTTGACTGCCACAAAGTAGCTTTTGACTTCATTCTTGACTTCATCAAATCAACAAGATCTTTGCCAAAGTAATTCAATAAGATCTTCATTACTTTCAGTCTCCCCCTATTTGATG